GTCTCGTCCTCATTTTCTTTTTTGTTCTCATTTTTTAGTTTAGTTTTTAGTTAGGCGAGCTCATTTATTGCTACTGCATTTTCGGCATGTTCTCTTTTATTTAATTTGCAATTTCTATTGAATACAATTTATATTATTCTATTTTCTTTATTTATTTAGTGTTTATTTTAATTTCTCGTTATTTAATTATTTTTTAATACTGCTTAATTTTCGTTTTCAATTCATCTTTTTTCAATTCTAATTCTCAATTTAGTTTTAGAGTTATTGCTTCCAGAAATTTTAAATTAATTATTGTACTATTTTATTTTAAAGAAATTTTTTATTTTACACTTTTAGTTAAAAGCATTTTATTTTAATTTTATAAATTTTAGTTATTTAAATTTTGCTTCAATTTAATTTTAATTATTGCATCTGTTTTATTTTAAAGCGATTTTTTATTTTACTTTTTTAATTAAAAACACTTTATTTTAATCTTATAAACTTCAATTATTTAAATTTTGTTTCAATTTAATTTTAATTGACGTTAATATTCTACTACAATTCGATTTTAATTTTCATTATTCTACATCAATTTATTTTTTTCACTCTTTCATTCATCCCTCTATTTGTTGTTTAGAGAGAATGATATATAGTAATGAGTACGTTCATATAATTGTTTCCTTGTGATATTCGACACTGGACTAGCTATACAACATTAGTTTAACAACTTGTTTATTATTTTTTTTATTAGTATTTTGTGTGACCAAAATGTTGTTGTCACATATCAAAGGTTATGTAAATCTCCTCAGTACCTTTGGTATCATTCCTAATAGTTGACTAGTTATGGATGTTATACTTTGAATAAATTTGAAATTGTTGTCTCTACACCGCACATGGACATGAAGTTTCTAGCCAAGAATGAGAATACGATCATTGTTGAATAAGACCTAAAGAAGAACAATGATTGTTATATTGATAATCTAAGTGTCATTGTACACCTTCAATTCATCTAAGGTCAAGAATATTGCAATGTCTCAAAACAGGTATCTATGGGTAGGGATAGTAAAACAGGAAAGGTCCGGCGAGCTGACCCACCAAAATATTGCAGTGTGGGTTGGTGCTTTCAACCTGTCAGCCTGTTTTAGCCCACCCAACCAAGCCCGCCAACCCGTCAGGCTAGGCCGCGAGATGGGGTGGGTCAACCCGTGGTCCGTCTAATTAATAAAAAAATAATTTTTTATTGTAATATTGTAAATATAAAGTTAAAAATTGTAAAAAGAGAATTAAAAAAGTCTCATTCTCACTTATTATAGGAAATATTCTTCTTCCTCAAATACAACTTTCTCTCTCCTCTTCTCCTGTTGCTCATTATCTCATCCTTATTCATTCTAAGCATCTGATTATTCTTATTCTTATGACTTGAATTAAAGGTGTAATAATTACTCGAAGAAAAACAATGTGAAGTTTTATCAAATAAAAAATCTATAGGTATTTAAATTTTTCAATATAAAAAATATAAATTTGACAAGTTTTGATGTTATTTATATATATTTGTTATTATTTATTATTATATAAATTTATTATTATTCTAAATTATAATATCTTAAAATAATGTGTTGATTTATATTATTAACTCAGTAAATATATATATATATATGTGTGTGTGTGTGTGTGTTGAATTATTGACAAACAAATAATAATCTAATTATTAAATTTATTAAAAATTTTGATTTAAAAAAAAATTATTTTTTTTTTAATTATGGCGTGTCAACCCGCCAACCTGCCTTTTGGTGGGATGGGACAAAGTCTACAGTCTGGCATGGCTATAGTGGGTCATCTCGCCCGGTCCCGTTTTTTGCGGGCCAAAGGCAGGCAGACCAAAAAGGAACGATCAAAGCCTATTTTGTCATCCCTATTACGGGATAAAGTTAAGACAACCTTCATCACTAAAAGAGCAAATTACTATCATAAGGTCATGTCATTTGCATCAAAACATGTGACCAACCTATCAACTTTTCATGGACAAAGTATTCAAGGACCTAATCAAAGATATCATGGATGTGTACATCATCGATACAGTGGTCAAATCAACTAATGTCAAAGATTATATGCAACACCTCAAATGCGTATTTGTGGAGGTTAGAAAGAAGAACATACATTTGAATGTTAAATAAATTGTTTGGAGTAAGATGAAGAAAGTTTTTGAACTTCATGATCACTCAAAAGGGAATTAATAGCTTCCCTCCCTTGTTTCCTTTCACATTTACCTAAAAAAATCATGAAGTCATTTTTCCAAGTGCTCGAAACACCTCAAAAATTTGACTTTAATAACTCAAATGAAACATTGTTTCTCATTATACATATTAAACTAAAAACAAGTTACATCCTCAAATGTAAAATGTTTCAACAATTCAAATGAGACACTCCTCAATGCTTGAAGAATGGAAGAAACAAAGTCCCATTTATTTCAAAGCATAATTATCCAAGCATTAAAGAAATTATGCTAAGTTATCTAAGAATTAATTTTAGCAAATACTTTCAAAGTCTTCTAGTAGCCAAGAATCTACAATCTAATTAAGCATGTTTTGAGGAAGGTAGAACTCATTAATAAGATGATAGTCTATCAAATTATCTAAGTTATTGTTATGATTTGAAACTTGCATGTTGTTTCGTTATGCTTGTGAGTTTCACGTCATTTAGTAGTTGAGGTCAAGAGTAGTTTATATATATCCAAAATCATGACGGACTAGAGCTCCAAAGTAGACAATACCTCAAACATGAAAATTTACCCTAACAATATTATCATAGTGGACATAAGACCGGGACACTTTCATTTCTAGACAAAATATTGGTGTTCACAGTAGAGTTAAGAGTATAATCTCGCTCCACTCATATATATCCCCTTAGTCTTCAGACTGTGGGTTATATTTCGATACGCTCATAAGTTCTATATCGCTTAGGAGTCAAGGTCAAGGGTAGATAATATACATCATTCTCTATTAACCCACTGAAATGTCTTTTAAGGACAAAACCATGAGAAACTAAAGTTTCAAAATAGACAATACCTTAGACATGGTTATAGACTCTAACGATGCTATCATAACGAATACGAAACCAAGATACTTTCGTTCCTAAACAGAACACATACCAATGAAAAAATTTCATTAATACAACTTAATAACTTAACTATAAAAATTATCTCATTAAAAACATTTTCTATGAAAAAAATTATTGAAAAGAAAAAAAAATCTTTAAACAAACTTTTACATCTATATTAAAATTTAAAAACTTTATATCAAAACTTACGAAAACATATGATAAATAAATGTGAATACTCAATCTTATATGTACAAAATATATTATTAGGGTTGTATAAATTTAACCCTACCTATATCCTCAGTTAATGGGTATTTTGCCCAATAAAGCATTGAAGTCATTCCCCTATACAAATTCAACACAATCCCCACTAGCTAACGTCATTCCATTACTTAGTACTCATCCCACCTTAGTTTAATTATGTTAATGTTTGTTTAGTTATCATATTATTATATTAAACACTTCAGTGTGACCCCCTTGTCCTTGTCCATATCTAATATTCTTTTGAAGGAATCTCTAAACGGTATAATGCCCTCTTTCTCTTATAAATAAAGATTGATTTATATTGTATATATGATATTTGATGAAATGTCTATGTTTAATTAATTTTGAAAGACTCATTGGTGTTTTCTACAGTAGAGAAACAAATATAGGTCAAATCCCCAATAAGATCTTTACATTAACTTAATATTTTCGTCCTTATCAATGGTATGCGCAACATGTAGCGTGACATAAGGGAAATACAATTAAGAAATTTCCTTTCAATTTTCAATTAATTTTGTCTCCCATTTATACAGATACTATATCATGGTGCTCATTATCGCCCAAATTTGGTTTTATTTCTCTTAAATTCGAATCAGTTCTCTGTTTTATTTTTGGATGAATCAGTTATCTTTTGAGGTTGCTTTCATAATGAATCTAGGTTTTATCCGAGCAAATTTCAGTGAAAGTCAATTTTGTTCATTTTTAGGAATATATTTAAATACAGTTTTTTTCATTAACATGATTCACTGCATCTCAAGGTTTTGTCATGGTTTAGTAAATAAGTAAAGTCCTTTTCAAGAAGCTAATAAAACTAATATAAAGCGTTTTCAAGAAACTAATAAAACCCAAGTAACCAGTGATTTGAAAATTTGAAATATTCGTTCCGAAATTATGCCAAGATTAAAAAAAAAAGGTTCCACGGTTGACATTTCATTAAGGTTCTCCAATGATGATTTTCCATTAAGAATATAAAACTCCAGAGTGACGTTTCATTAACAATTAACAAATATGGTGATGTTGTTGCTAATCGACCTCAAAAATCTTCTCCTAACATCCTCTCTACCTCAATTAATAGAGTTTAACAATCAAACCCTAGGTTCAGATTTTAATTAAGGTTCAGTTTGAATTTTGGAACCAATAATTCTAGGAACAAGGGAATAATTCTGGAGAATATTGCACAAACAAACCATGGTTAAGGCGAGAGGAACATGTCACCCCTTTCATCATCACCTCCTATTTTAAAGCGTTGTTATTGTCTTTCTCGGTGTAATCATCTGACTTTCTTAATTTCTTTGTCATAAAAAGATTCACAGCTTCAACAAGAAATGTCATCTTTGTGAGTTTGGCTAGGCCAAGTCTTCTTTTCAAACATGCCCCCCTCCCTCATCTTCTCCTTTCATTCTTCATTCATTTTCCATGTGGCTTCTTTTTAGTTATTGATAATATTAATACCCCATCTTAATCAACCTAATTCAGTTTATTGATTTCTCTAAAGCCTTAATCTATTAGAACAAACTTTTGTTAGAGAATCTTTCGAAAGGACTTCTTCACATATTGGCTTCTCTTCTTTCTTTTGTTTTTGTTTGCCAGATTTTCTCAGGTATTGTACAACTAAAAAACAAAACTATCTTATGTTTCTGTAAGTGGTGAAGACAACTAATATGGGAACTAACCGGCAGGAGCATGAAATTTCAGAAGGAAGATCTGAGGTAAAGTGGTCACAATTCAAAGCTATAGTCAATTGCCCTTTTTATGATAGTTAACAATTCTGAATTCCACTGCCTAATTCAGGAGACATGTCAAGAGATGGTAGAAAATGAAGTGAAGGACACTCAGAAAGATCCAACGCACAGATTAATAACTGAGAGTTGCAAGTCAAACAGCATGGTTGTAAAGGTAATTCTTATATTCCCACTTTTTTCTTCTTTCTTTTTAGATGTTGCATGTTCAATTGAAGCTGAAAAATGGTATGGATAGCAGAAACGGCACACGTTGATTCCTGCTCACATTATAGCTGAAGCCATATCAACTATCCCTGATCTTGACATTAGATGGTCAGGTCCAATCACATCAAAAGAAATGGAATATGTTGAACAATATGTCCTAGCAAAATATCCAGAATATTCAGGCCTCATGGAAGGAGATGGAAATGGGATAGACTTGTCTAGCTTTATCATCTATGAGGAGCCTTCAGAACCCATAATGGATGATAGGGGCAAGTCACCAAGAGAGTCTTCTACATATTTGTTTGGCTGTAATCTCCCTGAAATGGATAGGGCCAAGATCCAATTGGAGCCATCAAGATTACTAGACATTCTCAACAAGAAATCCTCATTTACTGGAAGTTTCATCTCTATCCCAGAAATTCAAGCTCGTAATAAGGTTTTGAAGCATTATGGGTTGCCTGATGAAGAGTACCTTGTTCTCTTCACTCCAAGCTACAAGGATGCTATGATGCTGGTGGGAGAAAGTTACCCTTTTGTTAAAGGAAACTACTACATGACCATTCTTGATCAGGAAGAAGACTACATCAGGGAATTTGCTTCTTTTAAGGAGTCCAAGGTGATCTCAGCACCCAAGACTTGGCTGGATTTGAGAATCAGCGGGTCTCAGCTGAGCCAAAACTTTAGGAGGAGGTGTAAGATCAGCTCAAAAGGTTTGTTCTCTTACCCAGTTGATGCAAATGGAACAATGCATTGGATTTCTGAGGCTCATAGGAACAACTGGTATGTTCTACTTGATGCATCTGCCTTGGTAGTGGGAAAGGATAGGCTACATCTTCTTGCACTTCACCGGCCAGATTTTGTCATCTGTAGTCTTGACAACACTCCTTCCAACCCTTCAAGAATCATTTGCCTCTTAGTGAGAAAGAAATCCTTTGAGATCTCAGCTACTTCTTCTCAGGTAGTTGAATGAGTGATAAGGATTACTTTCTTCTGATTTTAGAGCACCAAATGGACAAACTTTCCATGCAGATCCTTAGGTGTTTTCTCTCCTACCAGAATTGGAATTTCACCTTAAGTAACTTACATCAATCTTTAATGCAAACTTCTGTTATGCAAACTACTAAGGTGAACTTCCAATTCTGATTGAAGAACACTATCATAAGCACTTAATAAACTGCATTTAAGTTTTGTCTAAGCAAAATTTGGTTTCATTGATTCTGAGAAGTTATGAATTTTCCTGGGGTACTTATGTAGACTGAATAAATGAGGACATGCACACATAAGACCACTTATTACCTACCGATAGGAACAAATTAAGCATTCCTAATCATCTGCCTTGTTTATTACTTAAAAGCTATATATAAATTAATTATCTTAGTTTGGTGAGTTATTTCTGCCAAACCCATTTTTTCAACGTTAATCAATTAGTTTTGAAGAACTTCATCTCACTTTAACTAGTCTGACTTCAATTCGGAGAGTAACAAATTATAAATGCATGTGTTGATTACAAACCTCTTATCTTTATTTACTGCCAGAAAACTCTCTTATCTAGATTTGGTATGCTTAGTCTTCAAACCTTTAGGTTCCAAAACTGGAAGCTTGCAAACCCTGGCCGTTTATATTCAATCTAGCAAGAGACAAAAATACAAATACATACGCGTGCAAAATTTAGTTAGCTGAGTGGTGTCACGAAATTCTGTGCTGGCATTTGGTAACATCTATGCTTTGGGACGTGTAGACCAAGACAAGTAATGCATTAAGTTATTCGAGTGAAGCATAACCAGTCACCTTAGCAAGTTGTCTGCAGTGCAAAGGTCAAAACCTAAAAGGTTCTTTGTCCTTCTCGATACTGTAACATTTGTTTTGTTCTATGTTACAATAAGTACAAAAGGATAAATTTCTCAAGACCGTGGATGAGTCAAGAAAATGTCCAAATAGAAATGCAATAGATTAAATACTAACTGGCTATCTTCATTCATCCCATGCTCAAAGTGCATCTTATTTCTGGTTTTCTTTAACCTTAAAGACAATTATGTACTGTTAGTTTTATTTGCAGTTACATTTATTTGCCATTACAAGCAACTTGGTTCTTTGAGAATCTGGAAGGTTGATGTTGGACTTTTCTCTGAACATAGCATAAAAGAGTCCCTTTTCAGGAACTAAAGTATTTATTGCTCGGTCACTGCGTTGATAAAATTCTTCAAAATATTCAAAGAATCATTGATACTCTTACTGTATGAGGGTCAAACATTTATTTGTCATGTTGGCCTCCAGCACTTGCAAGGTAAAGTGGCCACTAATGCATCTTTCTGTCATGTCAAGATTGAAAGTTTATGGTGCACAAATAATGCAGTTAATAATAGATAATCTAAATTAACTAAATTTGGAGGAGGGGAGATAAGTGAAGCTTTCCCACTATGGTAACTAACACCATCCCACTATGTTGCACTGGGTAGTATAATCTGGTGTTTCATTCCAAGACAGAGAGAAGGAATCATCTATACTAGCAAGTTTGTCAATGCCGCATGCTTTGTTATTATAGCAAGTTTCATTGTGTTTTTAAGCTCAAATGTGATTAAAGAATACTGAATCTTCAATAGTGTCCCGAGTAAAATTCATTATAAACTTGTAGTGCTCTTCTTGAAATCAAGTGATTTAACCCATTATTGATTTAAAACCTGATACAGTTATTTTGCTATATTGCATTTCGAATATATTTAAAACATTTGGTTTTCTTTCCATCTGCTTAACTTTTCAATCTGAATTTATATTTTTACCTATTATTTTAAAAATATTGTATAAAACATATCATTAGTCCATTGGGTGAAATTAAAAACCTCTTATTTTGGTTATTATTTATGTCAATGATGTTTTAAGATATCTCATAGCTAATATGTTTTTTCATAATGGTTGAGTTTAAAACTTGTGGAAGGAGAACTTGGCTATTTTCACCAGAAGAGTTTATCCCGTGTCCATAAAATATGTAGGAAGAAAAGAGTTTAAAAATAGAGTATAAGAGAGAACGATCAAAAGAAGGAAGAAAAGAAGAATAAAATGTAAAAGAGCATTGAGAAAAAAAAAATGATGGGGAGATGAAGTCGAGTGAAGAAGAAGAGAACATGAGATAAAAGGATAACAACTTTTTCTTTCAAAATTTGTTGGAGACGGTTGATAAAAATTACTCTTGCGATCTCTCCACTTATAAATTCTAACAAATTATCATCTTTGTACCTATTTATAAAGAATTTCTTAATTTATTTTATAAATATTATAATTTTTTCATGTTTTCTAAAAGATCTTTAATATATTAAAAAAACTTAATAAAAATAGTAAATATTGAAAAATAATTAAATAAAGTTTTTCTTTTTCTTTTTAGGATATGGAAGAAGTTGGATAACCATTAATTATATAAGTATTATTCTCTTTCTAAGCATTATTTAGTTATATCTAAACAAGATGGTTAAACATAATTTAAAAAAAATCAAACTATAATTTTTAGATAATTTTACCGTCAATAAATAAACTAACTTTATTTCTTAAAGTGTGAATCAGTCGATAAAATTGTATAAACTTTTTAATAATTAGTTGAAACTAAAGAAATATTGGTTGATGTAGTCAGTTATACCAAATCTATTAATAAAGTATATTTTTCTTCCAAAATTATATTTAGTAGGTTTTATAAATAATCATTTGTCATTCTATTTAACTGTATTCAATTAATATTGGAAATAATTTATATTATTAATTTATTGTATCTGATATTGTTCGTTAAAAAAATTCCTATTCTGCTTTGAAGTTAGATGTGATTGTGCATATGGTAGAATTATCATAATTTATTACTATTCACCTTTTCCTTCCTAGTATTGGAAGCCAAAATGACAAATAAATCTTTGATTCTCTTACCGTGTGGATACCATTAATTGATTTTTAGCAAGATACTTAAATAGCAGGGATTCTTCTATACATGGAAAAATGGTACTCCATGTCCTCTCTTCTAATTTTCATGAATGAATGATGTTGTTACTTGAGTTGAGTGTAATTATGCCCCCACTTCTACCATTACAGTTATTGAGAACCGTGAGAATCTCCTTTAAATGACGAGTTCCTTGGTCATTCTTTATAAATAGAAACCCCAAACTAATGACAAATAATTTTGGCTGGTTTACTGAAAAATGCATTGAATACATTGACCTATGAACATCAATTAATAGTTATCTTGAACACGAAATGTCAAAGTTAAAAGAGGAATGTGCCTATAACAGATGTCTTGATTTAATTTTCAAAGTGCTTCATTCCCTCTTCTTCATTAATACATTCTACTTAGATTTGTGAAAGAAATAATATTTCTTGCACATCATTTCAGTCTCATTACTACAGCAAAACCTAAGGGTACAATACATAAAACAGGGGATAGACGCCACTGCATATGGCAAGTCAGATAAAAGGAAAAAGGAAATATAGGCCATTGCGAACCAAAAACTTCCACTGCATATGGTAAGTCTTGCTTCCAAAAACTGCTGCAAACTATGATGCCCATTGCTAACCATAGGCCAAACCCTGGTAATGGGACAGCACTATATCTTATATATTATACAAAACAAGCATCAGGGAACATTTGGTGTAGGCATCAGTACCTCGTTCTACCATCACCCTCAGTTATCACATCCTTGAAGGATCCATTACTGGGAATCATCGGCAGCACGTGTTCCTGATGAGGCACTATGACATCGAGAAGATAGGGGCCAGGGGTCTGCAACATTTTCTGAATTGCAGCTCTAAGATCTTCCTTCTTCGTCACACGCACTGCGGGTATCCCACAAGCATCTGCGAACTTTAGCATGTTTGGGAATATCTCACTTTCTCTAGAAGGGTCTCCCAGATAGGTGTGAGCTCTGTTGGCCTTGTAGAACCGATCCTCCCACTGAACCACCATACCCAGGTGCTGATTATTCAACAACAATATCTTAACAGGGAGATTCTCCACTCTTATAGTCGCCAACTCCTGAACATTCATCATGAAACTCCCATCCCCATCAATGTCAACCACAACTGCACCAGGGTTCGCAACGGCAGCACCAATAGCAGCAGGCAATCCAAAACCCATAGCTCCAAGACCTCCGGAGGTCAACCACTGCCTAGGCCTCTTGTACTTGTAGAATTGTGCAGCCCACATTTGATGCTGGCCTACCCCAGTGCTAATAATAGCATCCCCATTTGTCAACTCATCAAGAACCTCAATGGCGTGCTGAGGAGAAATCCCATCCTCAAACGCCTTATAACTCAAAGGAAACTTTTCTTTCTGCACATTAATCTCTTCTCTCCAAGCTCCAAGATCAAGCCTATCCTTCACGCCCATAGCCTCCAAAATCCTATTAATCCCCTGTAATGCCAACTTCAAATCCCCACAAACCGACACGTGAGGCTGCTTGTTCTTCCCAATCTCAGCTGAATCAATGTCAATGTGAACAATCTTAGCCCTACTAGCAAAAGCCTCGAGCTTTCCGGTAACGCGGTCGTCAAACCTTACCCCAAAAGCAAGCAACAAATCACTTTTATCAACGGCGTAGTTGGCATAAACAGTACCATGCATGCCCAACATTTGAAGGGAATGTTCATGGCCAATGGGAAACGTTCCAAGGCCCATCAAAGTGCTGGCAACGGGTATTCCGGTGAGTTCCACAAAGCGCTTTAACTCAGCGCTGGAGTTCAAAGAGCCACCTCCGACATACAAAACGGGCTTCCGGGACTCCAATATGAGTCTGGCAATCTGGTCCAATTGGGCCTCGCTGGGGTCCTTCGGCAGCCTGGAGGCATACCCTGGGAGCTTGACGAGAGGATCCCAATTAGGAACCGCCAGTTGCTGCTGAACGTCTTTGGGGATGTCGATGAGGACTGGGCCGGGCCGGCCCGAAGTGGCCACGAAGAAAGCCTCGCTCACCACCCGAGGAATGTCGTCCACGTCAAGGATGA